ACCGTGTCAATAATACAAAACGTACAATGAGCTTATGAACATGCGGAAAATTGTCACGCCCAAAATTTATACAAATTTTTAAAATTTTCCGCATGTTCATAAGTTCATTGTACGTTTTGTATTATTGACACGGTTTCCAATTTACTATAGTTTCGATCTCGATAATACAAAAATGTTTATCTGGGGCCGAGTCTGTGGCCAGTTGTATCAAGCCCGTTTAGCTTAAACGGTGGTTAAGCTCAAAACAGAAAGCAACTAAGCAAGTCATCGATTTATTCAACAATCAAGCTAAACGCTTCAGTATAGTGGCCGTGTAAAAAACGCGGCCGTACTTATTAGATATAAGTCGTTTTATCAATTCATTTGAATGATCATTTTATATGATAACCCGTTTATACTGACCTTGCATATAAATATCTAATGAAATACAAATTGTCAAACACAAAAACCTGGTGGTCATCGAGGTTTATGACGATTACGGCTGATTTGTAATTTATCCGTTCTTCTTATAATCGTTGTTTACAATAAATTGCAAAAATAATGCCCAAAATTCCAAATGCACGCAGTCAAAGGTGATGTGAAATCTACAAGAAATCTCGTGAATACAAAATTACTTATGTTAAACAAATAAGTCCAGATGTCGCCTTCCCCCCCTAAACACATGATAAGTCAATGCGGCCATCTACTTCCGGCTGGTCGAAATTGACCAGCCGAAGTATGTCTGCTGCCAGATGTTACAAGTCTCTCTTCTCTTTCCTCCTCTCCCCCTCAGCGGTACGTCATGTAACGTACAATATAGTGGGTCTCCACAAAGAGAGACTTGGAGCAAGTCTATTAACAGCCAGGCCCTTAATCCAGTTGCCTTTGAAAGTATCGTAGTGTGCATCCAATGATGAACAATCGCAGATAATTAACAGTTATTCTACGAACTCGAGTCGAATATGAGCTGATAGCCTATGAGGCGCGTAGCGCCGAATCGGCTGTCGCTCATATTCGACGAGAGTGAGTGGAATAACTGTTTTATTATATACACAAGGTCTGAATTCACAGACTTTGCTTTTCGGATATTTTCAATATTTTTCTATTTTGTTTATGTTTTTATCTTCGCTCTTTCGGCCGAGTATTTTTTCAAAAATATGTATTTTTAACCATTTTAAATTTTAAAAATTCATTTGCTAACCTGTAAACAATTCGTGGGAATTTTTTCGTTGTGTTTTTAATCCTGTAAAGGCTGTAAAAAGCGAACAACTTGCCGTTTTCTCGTTCGCAAGATGTCGGAAATTCAGTTTGAGCCGCCATTTTGTTTTTCTCTACTAGCATGATATGAGCTAATATCCTGCTAGTAGAGAACCAATCAGATTGCAGAATACCTCATATCCGGACCTTGTGTATATAATAAAAACATTTATCCTCACTCGAAACCGCTGTATTTGTAACGAGCTTTGGAAAGTTTTAATTAACTGAGCCAATCAACGTGAAACGCGGTTGGCTGATCGGATAAGAATGTGCCAAATGTTCTTGACAAACATGAAAGTTTCACGTGAACACGGATAATTTTTTATGAACACAGATAATTTTTTATCAAAGCTGTGCAGTTTGGTAGAATACGAATCAATTTATAATATAACTTTAAACCTTGGCCTGTGTAAATACACCTTTCTGGAAAGTGCTCATTGCTTTAGAGCCCTTTATCTTGTTACAGGTGACACATTTACGAAATCATACAGTTATACGAGTGAATATAACTATTAGACATGTTTATAATTATGTCATCAGTAATAAGACGAAGGGCTGTAAAGCCGATGTCTGAATCACGGAAACGATGCTCTTTAGCCACGACTAAGTACTTCCTGGAAGGGTGTGTAGACCATTGAACTAAAAATAACTGGAACGCTACGTTCAAGCGGAAGTTTGAAGCTAAATTATACAAGCTCGTACACAGGCTTTAAAAGGCCCGTTTTAAACTGAAAAGGCCCGTTTCCCTTTCGATTCGCATCTTGCCATGAAAACGTTCAAAACGGCATGCTTCAAGCGCCCCTGTATTGTCTCGCGAATAAATCGCGCAGTAGAAACACGCGTGGAAGTGCGTGTCTGGGAGTCAAAACTGGCTTCATTTGGCTTCATGGGAGTCAAATTTTGGCTTCAAAATTTGCATGCGCAGTTTACTGAACGTAGCGTTCCAGTTATTTTTAGTTCAATGGTGTAGACCCATTGCACTGACGTCACAAATCCTTAGCGTGTCCTCCAGATGCTCCCTAACAATATCTGTTCGGGTACAACAACCACATACAGCGCAAAAATTAACCATTTTAATACAAAATTATTATAGACTTTTACAAAATTTGCTTTGTTTACAAAATTTATATTATGCATAGATTGCTAATTTGTCCTCCAGATGCATCGTCACCGGCGCTGTGACGTAATGTGTGATGGACTATTAACATGCACTCGTGCATTTCATGCTCGTGGATTGTAGACTATTCTGTACCTGCTTTGGATCACAAAGAAAATTTGCTCTGTCTCCAATTTTGAAAATTTCTTAATTTATAAAAGAATACATAGTAGAAACCCCACAAAGCGTATTAATGAAAGAGGTTTTTTTTCTAGCTCCCAGAGTTGATGCACAGTGAAGAGCTTGCTGGTGCAGGAAGATTACAAATATTTCTTCTTCAAAATATAGGAATATTACTTGGGTTTATACTCATGCTTTTAATTGCATATTTTGAGGAAGACCTTGTCATATCCTGGTAAAAAATTTTCTGGACAACCCAAAACGCAGATATAGATGTATAGAATATCATGTCATTCATGTGATTTATATGAAAAAGTTATATACATTGAGGGGCCGATTACTTGGAGCACTTTCAACCCCGGAGTTGAACTCAGCCATGTTAAGTTACCGGGTTGAATTTTTTTTGCGATTACATGGACGATTTCAACCCGGCGATTTCAACCCCGGGTTGAAATGCTATACGTTCCTGGAAGTTAAAAAAGCGGCTCCATAGAGTCCATTTTGTTTTCTTGTAATAAATAGTCACTATACCACGCATGCTTGAATAACTGATGAATAATTTCAGCCCTGGTTTGAAACGATTACATGACATAATTTTCAACCCAGGGCCGAGTTCAACCCGGGGTTGAACTCGGTTCTGGGTTGAAAATTTTGTCATGTAATCGCGTGTTTGATTTTGATAGAGTTTTGTATTACAACAGACAGGGCTGAAATTTCAACCCGGTCAATAGGGCTGAGTTCAAGCCCCGGGTCGAAAATGCTCTTTGTAATCGGTCCCTGAAAATATTTTAATTACGTAAGGTGTTTTGTCCGTGCTCAATATAATGTAAGGTATTAAGCCACGGTCAAACGAGGATGCATGTGAGCTGATGACAGACACGCATTGTTACAGGGGGCAAGCAGTAAATTAAGATTTGGCGTTTGAAGTTTACGTTTGGCGTATAAATTTCATGCTTTAACGACTACAAGCCCTCGTAGCAGTTCAAGCATGAAATTTATACGCCAAACGTCAACTTCAAACGCCA